AATAAGAATTATGTCAATGCCATTTCTCTTCGTTCATATCGAAATGCTCACCTCTCGTGTTATTGCCGCAAGAACAGAATGGCTGTAAGAAATTAATTGGAACAGTGAATGATGAAAATAATCGACCTTCACCTGTTCTTCTAGCTTGTTGGAAACGGTCGAGTTACTTTTCAATGCGAGTCCCATGATTGAATTGGACGACAGGCAATTGAACCAAGTTAAACCAGGCGTGGAAAACTAATTCATGTGAAACCGGGATGGCTTTAAGTAGGGAATTAGATGATAATCGGTGTGGTGATCGGTAATGTGCCGTTTTTGTTTTTCGTCTCTAGGTGATGTGAACGCGGAGACAAAAACGTTCAAGGATCTATTCAACAGTACATCGTGTGCAAAACCACCCTACGAATGTCCACACCCACAAATTGAATTTTATTTATACACGAGGTAAGATTCTTGCCCGAATCAATTCTATTAATTGACTGCTCTTTTGCTCCATTAAACAATCTGTTGAAATTCTTAACGCTCCTCGGTACAACATCCAACGTAATTATCAGTTCGTCCATTTCAAGTTCGAGAAAATTCGAGACGAAGAGATTGTAACTTTCTAATCTATCAACGCCGGTTCTACTCTGTCTCTCGCGTTTCCTGCCACGAAATGTGTTGAACTTGTTCTCACTTTCGGGTGAAATTTCCCATTTACTTTTGCGTCAGCTGAGCGCGACTCACGCGGTTCCAGTCACTTTCCTTCCAATGTTCGAGTATGTTCACCTCGAACTTGAGCCGTTCGTGGCCGTAAGGAAGAACGTGGACACAAGACTCTCGATTTCAAGATCACGATCAGTTTCAGTCTCACACTGAAAGCGTGGCCTCGTTTCGAAGTTTACCTTTCTCCGGCAGCTAGAACTGCCTCGGCACTTCTGCCTCAAGTACTTTTACTCGCGAGTTTTTCTCTTTTTTTTCACGGCGGCGTCCTTTCTTGTTTCTCGCTTGAAGATTACATATGTTGATCTATGCGGCGTATACTTTGTTCAATGATCGTCCACTGATTTGTAAACGGTACGGTTAATTTTAAACTTAATTCATTTTTAAAAGTTTAAAAATAATAAATTTTTAAAAGTAGATTTTTTTTTTTCAAATTGGGATTATTCATTACTTGTTTATATTGGTGTTTAATAGATATTTGCTTTATTTATAAAAGCAATTTATATGGTGCATATTTTTTTTAAAGTTAAAGTGTATAAGTATACTATTAGAAATCTTTATCTCTATTTTCTTTTACGATAGTCGCCTCGATTTCTGTCATGATTATATTTCTCTGTATAATTTTTTTTCTTTCTGTTTTTTTTTTTTCAATGTACTTTTCTTCATTCTCCAACGAAAAATTCACTAACGAAAATTTTCTAACGACATGAAGTTAGAATATTCATTATAACATCTAGAAATTCAAATCCCACTAACACTCTATAACTGACACTAAATAAATTATAAACTGTTATAATTTTGTAAAAAAGAAAATCCTACTGTCAATAAATCCGCGGTCATTTTAAAGTCTCTATTTTCGAATTGTTCATGGTTCATTTTATTCCAAGATGTTTTTACGTCACGTAGCGGTTGGAAAAATAAAGGCACTTTTCTTTTCAAAAATATTATAAATTGTCACGACGTGCAAAAGACATTGAAAAGTTTTTTTTTCATGACTGAATTTATGACGAATTTGAACAATAACATATTTAACTTTATTTGGCAATTACTAAGATAAAAGTTGTAAAATCTAACACTTAATCGCGCTTTTTAAATTTACGGATTTTCTCTCTTTAACGTTCTTGCGAATTCTAACACTTTCGTCCAATTATTTCGCAGAGAAACGCAGAAGAAACCTTTACGCATTGACGTACGAAGGTTCGAGTCGCTTCAGCACTCCAAATTTAATAAATCACATCCTACGAAAATCATTATCCACGGTTTTGGCGGAGGGAGGAATTTAATACCTAGCCCGGATATTCGAAAAGGTAATTTTTTCGGTATTATGTACTAAATTAGTATTTTAAAATTCTGTTAAATATTTAAAGAATCGTACAAACTATGTCTAATAACGATTCAAATATGTACATTTTCCTAGATTACATTATTTTCCTGTTATTTAAAAATCTCGTAACGTGTCAAACGACTTATTGGAATACTAAATCTCACACGAAAGTGACTAATTTTGCTGATGAAAGATTTCGTCGTGTGAAAGTTTATATCGCATTCCTCAACTGTTCGAAAAAGTTGTAAAATTTTATTCGATGCGAAGAAAATACTGACAGTGAGTGGCAATCAGTAACTTTCGACCACGGTATTCGAATCACTGGCCGAAACATGTTAAACGTTGTAACTATTTTGTTTGAACTCTCCCACATCAGTGAAAGAAACTTTTTTATATCGTCATGTTCTTTTTATAATTTCTCTCTCGACGCTCGTTATATTTTATTTATCTAATATACTACACTTGCTTCTATCATGAATATCAATACTACACATCCGAAATGTAGCTTCGCGCAATTACAGTTACTCACATTTGAATAACATTCGAATGATCCTGAAACAACGAATTCAGTAGCTGTACTCGAATATCGTTCCAAAAAAGAAAGAAAGGAAAAAAAAAAATAGAATACATCGCGAATAATTAACTTTTAACTTCATTAAAATACACTCATCGAATTGTTTGTTAGATCATGCGTTTTAGATTCGTTAACGACAAGTTAACGTGGGCTGCATAGCGCACGATGCGATCGTCTCGATGTATGAAACTTTCGATTTCAGCGTATTTCACGCGAGGCGATTACAATATTATAATCGTCGATTACGGTTCGTTGGTACACGAGCCTTGTCTGTCGCAAATACAATGGGGTCCAGATTTCTGTTCACGATGTATTGCTCAATTGGTAAGGTACTTGAGGGATCATCCTCGGGGAACGAGGGTGGAGAATATACACGTGCTTGGGTACAGCGTGGGCGCGCATATAGCTGGCCTGATTGCGAATTATTTGCCCGATGACAAGCTTGGAAGGATTACAGGTAACGAACGTAATTTTATTTTAAGTTTAATCGTCAATTATTACAGACTTGTTTTCCCGAGGCTACTTCCAATTTTCATTCTCTCTGTATATCCTGTCTTTGTATCGTTCGACATTTTCATTTTATATCGTATGTTACATTTACATTTGCATTTAATATAATCATTTGTATTAAAATTACAATTATTTTTACTTTATATTGCCTCGACAATATGAAGTGACATTTTCTTCAACTTGATGTTCTTTATTATCAATGTATAAAAGAGAATTGAATTTGATCTAATGATAACAAAATAGTGATTAGACATGCAAGATGAAGCTGAAATTAACAACGATTGGCTAAGTAACACAGATTTAATTATATTGAATATACAAACACTTTTTCTCCAATTTGATTCAACCTCACCTGACCAAACCTCTTTTTACAAGCTTCTCTCCACTTGCTCAATTATTTAACGACGACTTTCCAAAAACGGAATTTAATTCTCTCTGTATATCCTTTCTTTGTATCGTTTGACATTTTCATTTTATATCGTATGTTACATTTACATTTGCATTTAATATAATTATTTGTATTAAAATTACAATTATTTTTACTTTATATTGCCTCGATAATATGAAGTGACATTTTGTTCTACTTGAAGTTTTTTATTATCAATGTATAAATTGAATTTGATCTAATGATAACAAAATAGTGATAGACATGCAAGATGAAGCTGAAACTAACAACGATTGGCCAAGTAACACAGATTTAATTATATTGAATATATACAAACACTTTTTCTCCAATTTGATTCAACCTCACCTGACCAAACCTCTTTTTACAAGTTTCTCTCCACTTGCTCAATTATTTAACGACGACTTTCCAAAAACGGTTGGCAAGTCTCGTCGATTTGCCGTAAAAGTCCCTCCTGTCTAACGTTGACCTGTGAATTGTCCATGTTCGTAACTGGCAGGATTGGATCCAACGATATTTTTCTACATGAATGGAAACCGGTCGATGGATCTAGACGAAACGGACGCGCATTTCGTCGATGTGATCCATACTGGTGCCGGGATCTTGGGACAATGGGGACCGACCGGGCACGCGGATTTCTACGTGAACGGAGGATCCAGCCAGCCTGGATGCGCGACAGCTTCCTTGCTCCGTAAGTAGGATCTTCTCACTCTCGCTCGTTCCCCGTTATCTCGATCTCTTCGATATTAATCCTCTATTGCATTCCGTTCCCAATATGGTGACTTGAATTTCAAATGTTCTATAGTAAATTAAATAGACAATTTATGGGTAGTTGTTGTTGCCAATATTTATAGTTACTGTTGTTTGGTGTAAAAATTGTATTGTAAGTTTAGAGTAGAGTTCGTGTAGAGAGCGATTTATTGACTGAAATATTGTATTGAGGTAGGTGTTTTGTTTATAATGTAATATACATTGTTATACTGGTATAATGTATACGTA